GAAGGGTGTGAGAATAAATCCAGCCATTACACAGGTAAGTCAGAGTGAGAAAGCTTTTAGAAACAATGATCTGAAGCAAAATTAAGTCACTTAGCCAAGTATGGATTAATTAAGGTGTTACCTCACACATTTATTAAAGGTAAATTGTGTTTAACTAATTTGATTGAATTTTTTTGGATAAGTTAACTGCAAAGGCTGATTAATGCATTATAGTTAACGCAATGGACATCGACCTCCAGAAAGCATTCGATAATGTGCCCCATTGTAACCATGCCAGCAAAGTTGAAGTCCAAGAAACAAAAGAGACAGTTTCAGCATGATTACAAAGTTGGATGAATGGCAAGGTACAAAGGTTAACAATAGAGTTGTTTTTCAGACAGATTCTCCAAAGGTCAATACTAGGAGCACTTCTGCTACATAACAGTGTGTAGGGAACAATTTCAAAATTATTTGATGGTGCAAATTTTGGAAGCATAAGGAGTTGTGGAGGAGAACATTGATAAACTTCCAAGTTGACAGGTTGATGGAATTGGTGCACGTGTGGTGGATGAAATTTATTTTTAATGAGAAGTACATGGAGAGATAATATATATATATAGAAAAGGAAAATTCTAAAGGAGGTGCAGGACAGAAGACCTGGAGTGTATGTAAGCAAAAGGTTGAAGGAGGTACCAAGAAGTTGACAAAGAAATTAAAAAGGAATTCAGAATCTTAGGCTTAATAAACAGACGTATAAAGTACGAAAGCAAGGAAATTATAATGAGCCTTCATTAAACAGTCAGCCTCAACTGGATTATTGTGTACGGGGCACTGTCTGTTAAAAAGATATGAAAGGAGAGGGTGCAAAAAAAAATTTGAGAATAGTTTCAGTGATGATGAGGGACTTCAGTTACTTGATTGGAGAAACGAGGGTTGTTTACTTCGGAAAAGAAAGGGTTGACAGGAGATTTATTAGAAGTGATTAAAAATCATGAAGGGTCTAGACTGAGAGTAGATAGAGTGAAACTGTTCCCATTGGTGGAAGAGTCAAGAACCAGAAGATACCCATCAGTTATAGTCATAAGAGCCATACAGCATGGAAACAGACCCTTTGGTCCAACCAGTCCATGCTCAACATAATCCCAAAATAAACTAGTCCTACCTGCCGTTCCTGGCCCATACCCCTCCAAACCTTTCCTATTCATGTATTTATCAAAGTGTCTTTTAAACATTTAACTGCGCTCACATCCACCACTTCCTTAGGAAACAGATAACAAGGTGTGGAGCTGGATGAACACAGCAGGCCAGGCAGCATCAGAGCAGGAAAGCTGACATTTTGGGTCTGGACCCTTCTTCAGAAATTTCCACTTCCTTAGGAAGTTCATTCCACATGCGAACCACCCTCTGTATAAAAAATTTGCCCCTCACATCTTTTTTAAATCTCTCTCCTCTCACCTTAAAAATATGCCCCTTATCTTGAAATCCCCCAACCTTGACTAACTATCAACCCTATCAATACCCCCATTATTTTAGAAACTTCTATAAAGGTTAGCCTTCAACCTCCTACGCTCCAGTGAAAAAAGTCCCAACCTATCCAGCCTTTCTTTGTAATTCGTACTTCCATACCTGCAATATCCTGGTAAATCTCTTCTGAACCCTTTCTAGTTTAATAATATCCTTCCTATATCTGGGCAACCAAAACTGGACACACTTCTCCAGAAGAGGACCTCACCAATGTCCTGTATGATCTCAACATGACTTCCCAACTCCTATAATCAAAAGGATTGGGCAATGAAGACAGGTCTTTTTAACCACCCTGTCAACCTGTAACGTAAACTTCAAAGAATTATGTACCTGTGCCCCCATGTCCCTCTGTTCTACAACACTTCCCAAGGCCCCACCATTAATTGTATAAGTCCTGCCCCTGTTTGCCGTACCAAAATGCAATACCTCGCATTTATCCAGATTGAACTCGATCTGCCATTTTTCAACCCATTGACCCATTTGATCAAGATCCCTTTGTAATCTTAGAAAACCTTCTTCACTCCCTACTATACCACTAATTTTGGGGCATCTGCAAACTTACTAACAATGCCTTCCATATTGTCATCCAAATAATAAGCGACAAATGAAAGAGTACCTGGAACTGAACCTCGTGGAACACCAGTGGTGACAGGCCTCCAGTCCAAAACGCAACTCTCGCCAAACACTCTCTGTCTCCTGCCATTAAGCCAATTATGTATCTAACTGGCAAGCTCACCCAGAATCTCATTGAATGACAAAGAATGAAAGGAGGAACATGTTCACTATCCAACAAGTGGTTAGGATCTGAAATGCCTTGCCCATGTGTACAAAAGGGCTTTCTCTTATGGCACAGTGGTGGTATCCCTACTGCAGGACAAGGAGGCCCAGTTTCAAGTTCCATCTGCTCCAGAGGTGTGTGGTAACATCTCTGAACAGATTAATTAGAAAAATAGGTTAACAAAAAATGTTTTTCAAAAGGGAATTGGAATAAACGCCTGATGCAAAAATTTGAAGTGTTACAAGAAATTAGTGGGAGTAGAGTCTCGTAACAAAAACAGAAGTTGCTGGAAAAGCTCAGCAGGTCTGGCAGTATCTGTGAAGAAAAAGTCAGAGTAGACGTTTCAGGTCCAGTGACCCTTCCTCAGAACAGCAGTGTAGAGTCCAGTGCCAGCTCTAAATGATAGTGACAAGATTTATCTACATTTACAGTAAAAACCCAACATTTTCATTACATACAATTAATCTAAATGAGGAAACTCATGACAAAGAAGTTTTTTTTTTAGTTTTACTGAAGCTAATGGCAAGATTGCTCCAACTTTCAGACAGAATCAGAATTTGGGGCTTCTTCACTACTGGATTTATTTTAAGTTCTAACAAGGGCGAGCAACATACAGTCAGTTCTGCTACAACTGCTATAGAAAATTGTGCTATAGAAATAACAGGGCCTATGGGAAAAGCAGGGTTAGGGAAGATGACCAAAAAAAATCACTCAAAATCGCTTAAAAATCACTCCAAAGCTTAACACAAAGGATAGGGCAGTTTGAATAAATGTTTATTTCATATCTAATAATGAAGTAAATTTAACATCATACCTTAAAAATGTCAAGATGACTTGATGGGGGAGGAGGTTTTGAGGTTGCTGTTGTTAATGCTGGGGTTGAGGGTTACCATCATCATCACCTTCAGGTGCAGTTGTGGTTGCAGGGTTGGGGTGAAAAATAGTTAATCCAGAAGTGGATGGCTGTGATTCATTGTCTTCTGATTGTTTCTTGGGGTTGCTTAAAAAAGACATCCAGTTTTTGCTGCTTTGCTCTTTTTCTTCTTTCAATAAGAAGCTGTTCCATAGGGTGTCAAATAAGATCTTATTCCCTAAACCGCTACCCTGCTGTGTTCTGCATTATAATCGTTGTCCTCTAAGAGCTACAACTGCCTCTCAATTTCCCTCAGGATAGAAGACAAAACAAAGTGGAAAGCTCGTGTGGTGCAGCATCCTGGACTACTTCATCTCCAGCTTCCACTTCCCCCTCAGCAACAAGTTGTTGTAGATCTGCTGTAGACAGGTCTTTACTGTGGGACTCAAGCAGCTCTTCAACAGCCTCATTCCCCACTTCTTCAAACCCAACTTGCTGTGCATGATTAACATAATGTTGTTTGATAGTTGGGCACTCCTCTGATGAATCAAAGCCTTTAAACTCTTGAAAAAAACGTGGGAGAAGCTTCTGCCAAACTGCACACAAGCAGTCCTTGCGTCGCCCAAAGCCTCCACAATAACGTCAATTACATTCTTGATGTTAAAGCTCTTCAAAAATTGAAGAGCACTGTCCTTATCCCGCTCAGTGGCTGCAATCAGCCTCTTAAATGTGTGCCTTAAGTAATAAGCTAATAATAAACAAAATGATCATGTGATGTCGATGCATACTCTTCCCTGCACCAATGGAATCGCGTTATAGTCAACACAAGTTCGTGTTTTAGAAATAGCTTTCCCCTATTCGTCAGTCACGTTATAGCCAATTCGCGTTGCCAGAACACGCTTTATAGCAGAACGGACTGCACACTAATTTCTGTTGTACTGCCAATTTGTTTCAGCATGTGGACCCATTTTTCATATGACTGCACATATACACACAGTAATCTAAAGGCACTGACTTGGACACAACCTGCACAGAAATATTTGGGTTACATGTAGTTAGCTTATGATGCCATACCGATCATTTTGGCAGCTTGATCAGACACCAGGATACCATTTGTCCATATAAATTTTTTTAGAAGTGCACATAAAGTTACAAATCTGCTCAATAAACTTGGATAAAAATGTAAAAGGTTTAAAATTACAGTATCAAAATGTTTGATGGTTACTGAAAAGGAAATAGCCAAAAAGGGCTATGAGGCCGTTTTGGGAATTCAAGAACCTGTAACTGCCAAATGTGGATGATTATTCTCTCCATGCACATCTTATCCTAATCCTGCTTTCAATAAATGAAGAAATGTAACAGCATCTTTTAAATGGTATTGATCAACTGTGTTTTCTGTCCTTCATGCAATAGCAAACCTACGTTAAGCAGTGTTTTAGAACATTTTGGAAATAAAAGCAATCTAATGATCCACAGAGATGGCTCCAGAAAGCAACAAAATAGAAAAGGAGTAGATTTTGATTCAGCCACTATAAATATATAAATCACAAACTTTTCAAGTGTCTTTCTTAATACCAATGTACACAGTTAGCTATCCTTCACAGGACCAAAACTGGCAGTTTTCTCTAAAAGGCATAATCCTCTTGATGTACATATCTTGTTATGAAATATTTATCCAGTTCAAAGCTCATAATACTGCTTTTGCTTGTCCTACCCATTTTTAAAAAAAAATGACAGAACCCAGTACGATAAAGTGTAAAACAAAATTACACAAGTTCAAAGCACAAATTTTGCAAAATACACCAGACTAAACAAATAGAAAAAATGAAAAGATGAAATATGAGGAAGACCATAGTGCAACCATACCTCCCAAAAGCTATCACTGGGTGCTTCAATCACAACTGATTCATCATATGACATGGTTGTGTTTAGAGTGTGTTCCAGCTCTGACAGTTAGAGATCTTCCAAAGCTGAAAAGATTGTGAAAAATAAGTATTAGTGGAAACATCAGAATTTAATACAGTAATTACTTTGCTACAATACTTTCCGAGCATTAGTTTTCTAACAGAGACGTTCATCATTTAAGCAAAGTTGGAGCTACTTAGACCATAAGATATAGGAGCCAAATCAGGCAATTCAGCCCATCGAGTCTGCTCCATTAAAAGTAAACAAAGGTGGCAGCATTCTGCTGTAAATATATTAGTGGGCCTTGACTGTGCTCTGTTATTTACGTGGATATCAAAGACCAACTTATGGCGGTCACGTGCAGCAAAAGGCAGGAAATACATACACTTTCATTGTCCTTAAGGAAAATCACTGCAGGTACAAATTGTTATGCATAACCAAACAAATTTCATCACCAATACTGCAACCTGTGTCAGTACAGTGCAGTACTGACATTCGCAGCCAAATACAAAACAGAGAGATGGAAACATTGAGTTTAAGATTACCTTGCTCATTTCTCAATACAGAGACAATAATGGAAACGTACATGACTATGTTTTCCAAAAATATCCATTGATGGTGAAATGAAGAGAAAATGGAGATCAGGCAAAATGCAGTTTTGGGAAGCTCTGTGATCCAGACTATAAGAATAGGAAAGAAGTCTTCAGACCATCAAGGCTGAAAAATGTCTCATTTTGCTTCAGCAGTCCAAACAGGGCTGGATAGAGTGCCGTTTAAATAAAGAAAATAAATAAAGAATTTGGAGTGATATTTTGTTGGAACTGAATATTTGTAATAGAGATTTCTCAGAACATACATGCATATATACTTCATAGATTTTTTATTTTGTGTAATAAGCCTGCATTCTTTCATGAAAAGGTCTTCAGCAGCTTTTTGTGAAACAAGGGACCAGAGCAAATAATGTTCCACATTTCCCATGAAGAAACAGACAATTTGGAACCATGCGGGTACCCTAAGCCACATCTCTGACCTGGAGAAAGTTGGAGATATCACCACCAAGCACATCTTTCTTCCCCTTCCATTCTCAGCATTCCACTGGGATTATTACTTTCGTGACACACTGGTCCACTCCTCCATCATGCCTAACACCTCCTTACTCACTCACTCATGGCACCTTTCCATACAAGCATATAAGGGCAAACACTTGCCCTTTCACCACCTCTTTCAGCAAACATATCTTCCACAAGAAGGAGTGTTTCAATCATACTTTATTCAAACTAGTCTACGATATTTGCTGCTCACAATACAGTCTCCTACATATCAGCGAGACCAAATGCAGACTGCGTGGCATCTCCACTTTGTTCTTGAGATTGATCCCAACCTTCCAGCTGTTTGTAATTTTCATAGAATCTTAGAATCACAGAATCTCATCTCAAAGATGCTATTCAGCCTATTGAGTGTGCAGAGGTCCTTTAAAGAGCATTGCATCCAGACCCAGCACCAACCCTATCTTCATAACCCTGCATTTACCATAGTTAATCCACCTAGTCTCCACACCCCAGTCAATCTACCTAAACTGTATATCTTTGGACTGTGGGAGGAAACCAAGGTATCTGGCGGAAACCCACGCAGACACAGGGAGAGCATGCAAACTCTCCAAAGACAGTCACCCAAAGCTGGAATTGAACCCAGGTCCCTGGCACTGTGAGGCAGCACTGCTAACCACTGAGCCACCATGCCACCCTGTTTCAGTACATCTAATGCTTTCACGTTAACATGCTAACATTTCCGTCCCAAGTGTGCTGCAGCGTACCAACGAAATTCAATGCACACTGAAGGAAAAATACCTTATTAAGCCTTTAAGTATTTTCTGACTTTTAAGACTCACCATGGAGTTCCATAATTTACACCCAACCACCCCCAAACTGCCTTGTTTCGCTGACTTTGCTCTCAGCAGCAAGGACCCATTTTCCCTCTTACACATATCATTTATACCGGTTTTAAACCTCCAATTCTCCTTTATCATCATTAGTACTGCCTTTGCCTTTTCCTCTAGGCACCCTGACAATCTGTTCCACCCGCATCTCATCGTCCTCTGTCAACGGCTTAAAACCCACCAAGAGGTGGTGATCTCCTTAGCAGTATTATCACTAGCCTATTAATCCTGAGACTCCTGACTCCTGTTCTGAGAACACAAGCATAAATCCCATAACAGTAGATAGCGGAAGTTTGAATTCAATAAAAATCTGGAATTAAGAATCTAATGATGACCATGACATCATTGTCGATTGTCGGAAAAACCCATCTGGTTCACTAATGGCCTCGAGTGAAGTAAAGTTGCCAACCTTACCTGGGCTGGCCTACATGTAATTCTAGATGCTCAGTCATATGGTTCATTTTTAACTGCCCTCTGGGCAATAAATTAATTGTGCTGCTCTTATCACATGAATTTCTCTAGTATTTTCTGTTTTTATTAATGGGGGAAAAGTGTTGCAGTTGCAAGAACCTAAACTATTTTGCACAATAGTTTTCAGCTCGGAAGCAGACAAACAAGACCACAGAGATAATAACTAGAAAGATGTCAAGAACAAAAACAAAGTTGCATGAAAAGCTCATCAGGTCTGGCAGCATCTGTAGAGGAGAAAACAGAGTTAACGTTTCGGGTCCGGTGACCCTTCCTCAGAACTGATGGTGGCTTCCACATGAAGTAGTGTTTTAATCATACTTTATTCAAACTAGTCTACGATATTCGCTGCTCACAATACAGTCACCTACATACCAGCAAGATCAAATGCAGACTGCGTTGCATCTCCACTTTGTTCTTGAGATTAATCCCAACCTTCCAGCTGTTTGTAATTTTCATACAATTGCATACAATTTTATCCATTTCAAGCTTAGTAAAATTGAATAAAAACTGAAAGAACTGCGGATGCTGTAAATCAGGAACAAAAACAAGGTTGCTAGAAAAGCCCAGCGGGTCTGGCGGCATCCGTGAAGAAAAAAAAAAGTGACTGTTTCGGGTCCGGTTCTGAGGAAGGGTCACCGGACCCGAAACGTTAACTCTGTTTTCTCCTCCACAGATGCTGCCAGACCTGCTGAGCTTTTCCAGCAACTTTGTTTTTGTTCCTGACTTACAGCATCCACAGTTCTTTTGTTTTTAGAAATATGTCAAATTAAGATTAGGGTGATTCAATCTACACCTTAGACCAAATCTTAAAAAAAAGTCTAATTACTGTGATGAAGACAGCAGAACAAGAGCACCAAATTAATATGAAGTGCCAGATTGACACTGGTGCTTCCTGCAACATTATGAGCTTTGCAAACCTGCATGAAGTTACACCAAATGGTAGTCCTAAAGTGAAATGCTCAAAGGTAAAGTTGAGACCCTGTGAGGGAACAATGCTCACCTTGAGGGGCACATTAGACTGAGAGCTCAATACTATGACAAGACTGAAGATCATGAATTTCGGATATTAGACAGAACACTGAAGTCACTCATCTCAGCAGGAGCAAGTCAAAAGTACTGAACAATAACCCCAAATTCTCCAGATGAGATTTACAGTGCTTCATAGTTCACATCGACTGACAAACAAGCAATGCATGACAGATGGGTTCTGACTTTAGGAAAACAAAGGAAACTTGATGCTAAAGTTGAAAAAAAATTGCCTTGCCAGACAGAGCTGATGCAACTGAAGGAATTAGTCATCTAAAGGCAACAGTGCAAATCAGAGACAACTGTCAAAATTTTAAAACTGATCTGGAGGATATCAGCAGACGAGGAGAAGAAAAGCTACAACTTGCATGTATACAATCACAAGATTTAAACACTTTAAAGATCATGCATGCCATGGATGTAAATAACTGGACAAAAGTTGAACGAACTAGAAGAACAGTTGTTAATGTAGGAGAACTGTTGTTTGTATAATGTATTACTTGGATAACTCAGTTGCAAATAACAGACACAAATTTATGTATAAAAGGCAGATGGTTGGATTGAATTGCAATGGTGTACAAAATGTCCCTCCTAGTCTGCCACAGACATCCACTCAGAGGCACATTCACTGCAGTCAGACATTCTGGGTTCACTTGAATAAAGATTTGGTGTTGAACCTATAACTGTGTTATATACTCGAAAAACATATGCATCCCTCTTTTAAACTGCCACCATCTTGAAAACACTGTCAAGAAAAATGTGGAAGCTTCTGTCTGAGACGCATGGTTCCTCCGATAGCTTCACAAAAATTGTATATTGCCACCTGGACCCCAATCAAACAAACTGAACCTTGTTAAGTTGCTTCATTTGCCTTACAGATAGTATTCTAAAACAACCAAATATGTTGGGGTGCAGTTCCATTTCTGATACATGCAACAGGTATCAACAAACCAAGTAGATGGCATGATCACACAAGTTTGTACCATATTGTTAAAGAAGCATTTTTCTGTTTGTAAAAGTATAATGCAAACAATTAAATAGTTGGCCAATTCAATCTATATCCAGCATATAAAAATACATTATGTATTTACCATATTAAATGTTTGTTGATTGTTAAATCAAAATTTTCCCTTCTAGACTCAGGCTTGTATTGTGATATGTCATGATAGTTTCAACATAATAATGGTGTTTGCTGAAGGACTGTATTTATCCACGAAATATTAGGAAGTTGTACACATGCTCTATTTTGTAGGCGTATGTACTGCCTCCCATCTCAACACATTTGTTCTGTTGGAAGGATTTCAGTCAACACACACTAAGAGCTAACCCAACTTGCCCTGTACATCTTTTCACACCCTTGCTCCTTACCCCTCAACAGAAACATTCAGTAATGGCATCACACCTGACACTGTTCTTTCACTGATAGCAGGAACTGCAGATGCTGGAGAATCTGAGATAACAAGGTGTAGAGCTGGATGAACACAGCAGGCCAAGCAGCATCAGAGAAGCAGGAAGGCTGATGTTCCGGAAGGGTCTAGGCCCGAAACGTCAGCCTTCCTGCTCCTCTGATGCTGCTTGGCCTGCTGTGTTCATCTAGCTCTACACCTTGTTATCACTGTTCTTTCACTGAATTTTTTT